ATCTTGATTTAAAAAAAACATTAAGTGTGTCTGCCAATGAAAAGTCTAAAACGAAGAAGGAACATAATAAAAGAACAGAGTTCCAATGTCCCTCCGCATTGCACATATTTTATCTATTCAATGTACAAGGGCAATAACTAAAAAAAGCACTTTTTTTTGTTCTTTAAAACTTTTTATTAATATCTTAGTGAAATGAAGGCTTCGGAGCAAATGCAATGTGATTTCCAACATAATTAATATTTCCAAGGAGCATAACCCGTTAAAAAATATTTGATCAGCATTTCTTTTTGAAAGTGTCAAAGACATTGCTGATATAAACCTATGATATAAGTTTCATAAAATTCTGGCAATAATTGTACACACGAGAACGCTGATAATGCAATTTTCCATATAATCAGTATTTGCAAGGAGCCTAACTCCTTTAAATATAATTGATTGGCACTGTTTTTTAACCCGTCAAAGACATTGATGACATAAACCTATAATATAAATTTCATAAAAATATGGCAGGAATTGTACACATTAGAGCGCTCATAAGGCAATTTTCCATATATTTAATATTTCAAAGGAGCATAACTCTTTTAGAAATGATTGATCGTCACTGATTTTCGAACTTGTCAAAGACATTGCTAATATAAACCTATGATTTAAGTTTCATAAAATTCTGGCAAGAATTGTACACATGAGAGCACTTACGATGCAATTTTCCATATAATTAATGTTTCCAAGGGGCATAACTCTTTTAAAAATAAATGATCGGCACTGATTTTCGAATTCTTCCAAGACATTGCTGATATAAACCCATGATATAAGTTTCATTTAAATTAGTCAAGAATTGTACAAATGAGAGCCCTAACGATGTAATTTTTCATATAATTAAATGTTACCAAGGGGCATAACTCTTTTTAGAATAATTTATCGGCACTGATTTTCGAACCTGTCCGAAACATAGCTGATATAAACCTACAATATAAGTTTCATAAAAATCTGTCAAGAATTGTACAAATGAGAGCCCTAACGATGTAATTTTTCATATAATTAAATGTTACCAAGGGGAATAACTCTTTTTAGAATAATTTATCGGCACTGATTTTCGAACCTGTCCGAAACATAGCTGATATAAACCTACAATATAAGTTTCATAAAAATCTGACAAGAATTGTACACATGAGAGCGCCAACGATGCAATTTTTCATATTATTAATGTTTCCAAGGGCATAACTCTTTTAAAAATAAATGATCGGCACTGATTTTCAAACATGTCCAAGACATTGCTGATATAAACCTATGATATAAGTTTCATAAAAATCTGGCAAGAATTGTTCACGTGAGAGCGCTAACAAGACCGGACGGACGGACGCCCGGTGTTTCTATGTCCCCCGAAACGCGTTGCGCAGGGGACAATAAACCGTTTCCAGAAGAGCCAAAAAGCTGTCAACAATGTCATAAAATTATTTTGAAGCCATTAGAATGAAAAATGTGTTTTCTTTATAATATATCAGTGACCCCTGTGGATAGTAAACTTAGAATTGATAGAAAATAGCAAATACATTTTTTTAGTATATTTATAGATATAAGAAGATGTGGTATGAGTGCCAATGAGACAACTCTCCATCCAAGTCACAATTTGTAAAAGGAAACCATTATAGGTCAAAGTACGGCCTTCAACACGGAGCCTTGGCTCACACCGAACAGCAAGCTATAAAGGGCCCCAAAAATGACTAGTGTAAAACCATTCAAACAGGAAAACCAACGGTCTAATCTATATAAAAAACCAGAATCGAGAAACACTTATGAACCACATCAACAAACGACAACCACTGAACAACAGGTTCCTGACTTAGGACAGGTGCAAACAAATGCAGCGGGTTTAAACGTTTTAACAGGCGACAACCATCACCCAAACCTGAGTTATTATGTAACATCACAACATACAAAGACACATTATAAAATATCAATTGAAATGGCTTAACTCAATCAAAAGACATATTAACAACAAGAATGTGTCCATAGTACACGGATGCCCCACTCGCACTATCATTTTCTATGTTCAGTGGACCGTGAAATTGGGGTCAAAACTCTAATTTGACATTTAAATTAGAAAGATCATATCATAGGGAACATGTGTACTAAGTTTCAAGTTGATTGGACTTCAACTTCATCAAAAACTACCTTGACCAAAAACTTTTACCTGAAGCGGGACAGACGGACGAACGAACGGACGCAGAGACCGAAAAACATAATGCCCCTCTTCTATCGTAGGTGGGGCATAAACACAAGTAAATATACACTGAACGAATAAATTTGATCTATGACACAATGCAAATATAAAATTAATAAAAAAGGGGGTGAGATAAAAAACAATATCAGAAAGACAACTATAACCTTGGACAAAATGCCGTTAAATTAAATAACGGACACAGTTATGTTCATATAATACAGAAAAACGCGAAAATAATTGAAATTGATAGAAAACAAAAAAAATAACGGATTCTGGAAACTAGGGGAAGGGCTAAAAAAATTGTCCTATCCCCAAGTACCTATGGTATTTTATACCAATGATTCAGAAGAAAACAAAACTTGCGCAATTTGGAATTATTATATGCCAAAAAATCGTGGCGCAGAGGATCGACCGATGAAATCACAATTAATTCCTTTATGAAATTGTTGTTAAATCAAAGTGCTGGATAGCACCTGTGGAAAGTTTGCAACGGTAGATGTGTATTATTTCAAATAGGTTGTAGATGTGTATTATTTCAAATATGTATTTAATCGCAGCTATGGTGTTTTTCCCTAAACCATTGTCTCATCAGCAATTATCAAAAATCGCTTTCTTAATATGTTTGTCATGTAAATTTTGATAATTTCTATTGCAACCTTAAACTGTAGATTTAAAATAATCAAATATACAGAAAGCTCTGTTAATTTCTTTCTGTGCCCATCCCATGTAAAGGGCCTGTGATTAAGTATTTTTTATTGATTAAGGTTCTTCATATTTGTTTGTAGTAAATTGTATTATTACTAATTAAGCAGTTAGTTTTCTTGTTTGAATTGTTATATATTGACCAAACTCGGACTACGATAAGTAGATTGTGTGGTTGTAACAGGATGCTGTTACGAAGTCCCCCAAACAAATCTTTGATTTGTTTTATTGTCCCATACAAGAATATATATGGTTTAGGGGTGGGGATCGCGACCGTTTACAAGTTCTGAAACAGGATGGGATGGGTGATCCCCAGGGACTCCCCCTATATTTCATTTGATTTGTTTTATTGTCCCATACAAGAATATATATGGTTTAGGGGTGGGGATCTCGACTGTTTACAAGTTCTCAAACAGGAGGGGGTGGAGTGACCCCCAGGGACTCCCCCTATATTTCATTTGATTTGTTTTATTGTCCCGTACAAGAATATATATATGGTTTTTGGGGTGAGGATTTCGACTGTTTACAAGTTTTCAAAAAGAAGGGGGTGGGGTGACCCCCATTTACTTCCCCTATATTTCATTTGATTTGTTTTATTGTCCCATACAAGAATATATATGGTTTAGGGGTGGGGATCTCAACCGTTTACAAGTTCTCAAACAGGAGGGGATGGGGTGACCCCCAGGGACTCCCCCTATATTTCATTTGATTTGTTTTATTGTCCCATACAAGAATATATATGGTTTCAAGGTGGGGATCTCGACCGTTTACAAGTTCTCAAACAGGAGGGGATGGGGGTGACCCAGAGGGACTCCCGCTATATTTCATTTGATTTGTTTTATTATCCCATACATTAATATATATGGTTTAGGTGTGGGGATCTCGACTGTTTACAAGATAAAAGCCCATCCGAAAAATTGAAAGGGGGATGGGTGACTCCCCCTATATTTTATTTGATTTGTTTTATTGTCCTGTGATCATTACTGAAGACCGCGTGTGTCTATCACTTACTGTTCTCAAGTTATAGTCATTTGAAAATAATAAAAAAAAAAAATCCCATAGGGTTCTTTAGTAAATCCCTCCCTTCTGTAGGCCCCTCAAAATACACATAAATAGACCCCAAGAAGAAAAATAACAAGAACTGAGCAAAAACAATAAGTCTCCAAACTTTGTTTGGAAGACTTAATAACAAATAGTATATACGAACTTTGTTATAGTCCGATTTTGTAATAGGCCGAGTTTGTTATAGTCCGAGTCTGTTATGGGCCGAGATGAGATACCAGGTTACTTTTGATATACTCGGGCTTTTACGTCTTTAATAAACATTTGTAATAATCGTAGTTAAAATAGCGTCGAAAAATGTTCATTCATGAAATATTTTAAACACGGTATTTATTTTCTCTTCAACCGGAAGATGGGAGGAAACCCCTGAAACCGGGATTATTGTACTCCCATCGGGTGGTACACATATATGGATCTCACGCATGTCTGGGGAATACCGATATAAGCATAATGTAGAAACTGCTGTCTCGTGTAGATGTGTATTGATTTTAATTTCCGCGCAGCGCAGATCCGCGAAGTAGTGTTTGTGATAGCCATTTTCAAAATGAAATTGCATTCATTTGAATTATCGATGAACATTCAGTACATTTTAATTCAAGCTGTAAGCTAATCAAAATAAAAGTTACTCAAAATTTCAAAAGCATCTTCCTAGAATTAGTATTCAAACACTAGTACTACATTATCTAGGAGTAGAACACTTGCGATAGTCTGTCCAACTTCAGGTTTTAGGCCGATGCCTTAGGAAAGTATATTGCTATAGCAAGCTATAGCAAACTTTCCAAAAATTAAATATTTAACTAAAATTATATTAAATACAAAAGCGCTGCATGGTTTATCGACCTGCAGCAGTAACTACGTAACAGCAGACAAGTTATAATATCATGTCAGTTGTTCCTGGAATATCCTTCATTCGAGACCAAAAAATCGGAAAGCCAAATTTTTAGACATTGAAAAGACATTCGTCGTGAAGTTCAACTTGTCATACTTCTGAAAATAATGCAGAAAGAATGATGACTTTAGTTTTCACATTTTTAATATTTCATTGGTATGCATTTCATTGATGCTATTAGTGCGTTCAAAAACATTAATATTTTATACATTACTTAAAATCAACAAATTATATGCCATATCATTATATAAATCCAACAATTCAAAAGTGTTACAACTTCAAATTAGCAGTTTAATACGTGTGCTCTTCCCTCAGCGGGATTTCAACCTATACTTCTATACATGTTATCAGATGATTTGCTCCATGAACAAAACGAAGATTATATTATTATTTTTAAACTGCAGCAGTGTTATTTCGGCAGTTCAGTTGTTTTTTTAAATATCAAATGACTATGCACAATTTTCACCTAAACTTCTTATAAATACATGCAAGCGTTGTAATACTAATTAGGGAAGAATCTTATTGTTTTGCATATTATTACATGTGGGAAAGCCGTGCATAAATAAAAAAAAAATAAGTATCATATTTTGAGTCAATGTTCCATATGTATCAACTGAAATGTGCTGTCAGAATGTATCATTTAAACCACAACCGTGCATTAAGCTAACATAAATCGAGTGATTGCCCGAATGGTATTTCTTTAAATGTACCCGTAATCAGATGTAAGCTACCAAACAAGCTGGGTTGCTGTCTCATAGACGTAACCCACACCTTAGTTCATTCATTATCACATAGTATAATAATCTTTAAATAATTTCAAGGATAAAAACATTAACAAAAGTAATATATATTCAACCATGATTATGTATGTCTTTCCTCCCTTAAGGATGTCATATATTGAACCAATGAAAGTCAATGAAAATTATCTTAAATTACATATTTTTATTTTTTACATATAATTTGCTGGCTTTTGCTAGAAAGCCATAAAATATAAGAATGTGAAATCCTATAAAATCCATACATTCACTGAGATAATAATTACAATAAAATTTACATAGAAGTGTTATCATTTATCCGCAATAAGTTCAGATTTTGGCAATTAAACCAGAAAAAAGGACAGATAGTACAGCGATTCATATTGCCATACAAAAGCAATGATAAAGTATCAATTTGAAGACAGAAAAATAGACGCAATTAAGAATTCATTCCAAATCCATAACTACAAAACATCTTCTGAAAGTGTTACTTCATCTTGAAAATTTGAGATAATGACACTTTTCCTGTTTTATAAAAACTGATTGCTCTTTACAGAACAAGAGAAAAGATAAAATATTTATTTATGAATTGTACGTAAATCAGATGTAGTCGTCTCATATCTTCGGGACTAACGCCTCTCAGATATGAGAAGCCTATATCAAATACAAGCACACTAAATTACTATTATTTAAAAAAGATATATTCGTCTCATATCTAATACTAACATGTTTTAAAATACTGATTATTAAATCATTCTCTCTGTTACAACTGGATATTATTTTTTAGATTTTAGTTTGTGTGTGTACTTTATCTCTGATATAACTCTGTTAACGTCGTGTTCTTTAGTGGATGAATAAAATCCTTTCCTGACAAATTTGTATAATTGGTACATTCTTTGACAGCAGAATTAGCAACCTAAAATTAGAAAATATATGATAATTAGTTACATGCACATGAACAGTAAGCTAAGTTTTTGATGACGTTTTCGAGAACTTGTCTGCTTTGGGGATTCTAAATAGACATCTACGACCTATTCGAAATCATAGTTCAATTATCAATTCTAAAATTTTACTACCACAACAATTACACGTTTCAGAATTAGTCGTAAGTACCTTTTCTAAAGGAGTATACTGTGGATGATGATGTACCATTGTTGGGTTATTGGAAGCCCTGTTGTAAGTCATTATGTAAGCCCATCTTCTCAAATCACTTTTGTTGGCACTACTGTGGTGAATTGTATTGCAGTGAAAGAACAGAGCATCTCCTGTAGAAAAGTAATAGAATAACATTCACTTCAAATAAATCATGTCTTCTTACCTTAGATTTGCGAAGGCAAATCTGGCATACGTTATCAAAAATCAATTTATTTGTTGGATTTTTTTTTTCAAATTTTTAGTAAAAGCATCAGTTACAATAATTCTATAAGTGCGCGGTCTAAATTTTAGTTGTTTCAGTCATACACTTAAACGTATTTAGTAGTAAAAAAAAATCCTACACAGTTCCTTTAAGTCTAGATTAATATGGCTTCTTTGTTTTCTAAATATTTAAAATAAAATATTGTTCATGTATCTATTTCAAAAATCACTTTCTTCTATACATTTCACAAACCTGGATTCATTTCCATGTAGTGGTGAGGGCATCTTTCTCTAATCAAGTCAACACGAGATTTGAGACCAACATATTGGCCATCAAATGGATGGTGTTCAATTCGACCACATTTATGAGAGCCACTAAGAATCTGCAATGGTATTATATGCTCTATGAGGGTCTAGATGGGGTCTTACAGCAAAATAGAGAATAATGGGCAAAAACAAAAACAATAGATGAAAGAGGCCAAAACAATAAAGAACAGAGAAGAACAGAATTCTAAAATAAAAATAATATAGAAATGAAAACACCCCATCCAGACACTCTTCTATTCGAACTAATGTTTTATACATGCAATAAAAGAAAACGTTAAAGTAAATGTAAGAATAAAGTAGATGGGTTTTTTCCTAATGAAATATAAACCTATCAACGAATGAAACAAAAAGACATCTGTGTTATTTTAAATTTTGAGGAAATAACTCATCAAACATTAATTGATACCATCTGGGTGAAATTAAAATAAAAAAGATACATATTTAACGTTTAAAAAGAGGAAAAGTTGACTTTAGATGAATTTGGCTATTCTTTTTACGTCCCTTTTTGTTATATAGATCCTAACGTTTCTGTGTATTTATACATCCCTGGAATGTTTATGTCTGAGCGTTCCTGATGAAGGTAAAACAAGACCTTCAGACCCACGAAATTTATAAAGCGTTATTTTCATAACAGCTTTTATTACTTTTATATGAACCTTGAGACTTATAATGTTCGGTTGTACAGTTAATGGACATACTATTACATTTCTGGGTGCGACTTGATTTTTATGTTACCTTTGATTTACGGATTTTCATAGTATGCTTGATGTTTTCAAAGTCCCTTTCATGAAAAGACAACCCGATATACTAAATCGAAATATCTGAACATAATTCCTTATTTTTAGTCCGCAGTGTCAGATTGTTTCCCTTCCATTGGTTTTAGATTTAAAATGACACGAAGGGGTGGAAACTGATGTGAATCGTGAAGCTCATTGTTTAGTTTCAGGTAAAGTGATTTGTAGACTTTTATTTTTTATATTGTTCATGTTGTTGTTTTTCCTTCTCCGACTTATAATTTTTATTGGGCCCTTGGAATTTCTTCTTTGTTTTATCAATTCTGAGGTCAGTATTCCTCACCTGTATGTTTTCTTAACAGTTTGTTCGGAGAGTTTGTACTTTTGTGTTTTTTACTATCAAAGTTATTGTTCTATATCAATTTTTAATGAAAGCGTGTATCACACGAACACGTGTTATGCACAAATCTTTAAGAATTGTCATTTATTCATCCAGCAACCATTTTATTGACTACAACTCGTTATGACTAAATCTAAACATGCTATTACCTCCATACAACCATTTTGTTTAACTGCTTTATCCAAAGCTACCCATACTGTCATCATGTCAGGAAACAGATTGCCACATTTGTACCAGTATCTTAACAAATTAATAATGTCATACATAATTGAGTAAATAACATCACAATGATGAGTACTAGTAATTTATTTCACAATAGTAATAGTTTAATTCGTAGTCGCACCATATTTGTTTCTCTCCATCAGATTGCAAATAATTAATACAACTAAAACACAACGTAAGTACTCATTGACAAGAGTTTTGAAATGTTTGAAACCAAGTCAGCTACTTTTTATGGTTTTAATGTATTTTCTTCAGTTTTGAACGGAGACCACAGAAAACTTCATGAGAATCGAGAATATACCGTTGTTTGAGTCGTTGTGTTTATAAATTTTATAAATTTGACGTTTATAGTCAGCTAATTTGCTTTAAAGTCCTATCTTAACTGTAAATGTTTAAAAATTACATTCTAATTAATCAGAAGGAGATGTACGCTCCACTGCTATTTCAAATCTTACCATTGAACTTTTAAATTGAATGTTTCAGAAGGTCGTCTTTAAATGAAGTTAGTATAGAGGCAAAGAGTTTTGTTAAAAATGCTTCAAGGCTTAAAAATCTTTCTTGTTCCAGTTTGTACGATAACAACCTATGCACCTTTAAATATATCAAAATTATTGTTCTTTGACCTATACCTGGTTGTTGCTCCCCTATTGTTCAGTGTCCCATATTTCATTCATATTCAGCACGAGAACAAATTAAAAATAAATACAATATGCAAGTTCTGCAAAATTGCTCGAACGGGACGAAAGGCGAGAATTTCGACTGCAACAGGAAAAATGGTATGTTTGATAGGGGACAGACATTTTTCTTTAAAATATACCTACTACGGACCCTTAGATGAGTTATAACGCTGTATATTTAACGTGTGTGAAGAGAGAGTGGCACTCTCCCTACATGAGGCATCGGATTTGTGGTCTCCATTCCAACCGAATGTGACTTTGTATTTAAACATCCCACACAGCCAAACAGACGCCATCTTTAGCATGGGACGTACAATCCGTTGGGAGAAGTCTAGGGATTCAAATATTTCTATACCCCTGGCCCGAGAACTCGTAGTGCATTTCTTTAGACAATAAACGAAAATTTAAAAAGATCACACCTACGCTTTCTCAATAATATTTTTACAGTGTGGTGTACTACTTTTGGGACAAAATATATCAAAATTATAGAAAACTCTATCAGCTCTAACTTAAAATGTGGAAAATTTTATGTTAAGGGGGTCTAGAATTTTTTTGACAGCTTCAGACATACTAATTTTTAACCTTTTTCAGCTGGACCAAATCACTACTTTAATTTAAAATTCATGACCCTTTTTTTTACAGTGTATAATTTCATCCCCCTATACTTGGTATTTGAGGCATAAAACATGAAGAAATAAATTTGGAAGGGGTATGAAAAAAAAATTTGCAAGTAATACACTGTCCACACTAGGGACTATATTTGAGACAACGAAAATCAAAGGACGATATCTGTGTTCCCGGACCACGTGTCCAGTCAACCATTGAGGTTCTATAACTTCTTCTTCTATTGGATTCCCACCCTATTTGCAGGGTCACCGCATTAAAAATAAGTGCGTTTATTTTTAAAATAATTTACCTTGTTAATATGGTTATAAATGTTAATTAAATAAAATAAAGGTAAAATGGTAAAAGGATAGAAAACACTGTACACATTCGTCTGACAAGAAATTATAAAACCTTTATTATTTCATAATGGATAAAACTCATTTATAAGATTATCTACAGTTAAAAATTTTAACTTGTTATAATAATAAAAGAATTCATGGTTTTTTCATTGTCTGGACCAATGGATAGGGTTTTTTTATATCGCGTGGGAAACCTCATGTCTGAGTGATTTAAAATCTAAAATTTTAATAGCATAAAATTTAATTTTCAAAATCTGAGTTTTGTACGATTTTAAAATACAAGAGTATAAGGTTTAAAAATTGGTAGTTACCCATTATCTAGATGTAAAAACATGGGGGTTATAGGGTTAACTAAGTTAATTGTATAAAATACATCGCATACTAAGAATCCAGTAAAATAGATTAAAATATGACAAAACATATGTAGTTATCGTTTCTCATGACCGATAGCACAACCGCTATTGTATAGTCGTGGAGATTATTTAGTCGATTATAAAAGTTTGTTTTCTTATAACCCAGTTCTTTTCATTAACACTCAGTGTAGTTCAGCTCTCTTGATATGCAATGCATAGACCAAATCTTTGCATATTCTTTCTATAGCAGCCAAGTGAGATATAGGTATGCAGGTATTGGTGCTGCAGTGGACAAACACTTCATATAGGTCCAATGTCACGGAATAGAAGTTCCTTCATAATATAAGTTCCAAATGAAAAAATATTCTGGAATATTATTTCCACTGGAAAAATATTCCAGTAAATGTACCTAACGGAATAAATGGTATAGAATATTAATTTGTTCCAACAGGAACAGACATTATGACATTGTTTATAACAAAGTTTCCAGTGGAACTTCTGTTAGGCGGAACAAATATACGTTGACACCACTACTGGTTTAATGACATGATTAGAAATAATCTGGTTGTCCGTCATTATCTGTTTTAGTCTGCTGTGGTGAGCATTTCTCACATTATCTAGGCTTTTACAAGTAACTAGGAAATGTTTTTAATCTTCAGGGCCTTCCATACATAACTTACATTCAGCCGCCTTTGTTTTATCAAAAAAGGAAAGAGTTCATCATGTCGTGGGTTATTTTTTTCCAATTTTTCTTTAGATTAAGTATAATTTCATGCGCTGTAGGTAAATCATAAGATCTGAGAATATTGTCCACCTTAATAAACCAACTATTGGATTGATTATCTTTTGTTGTTAGTTGTCTAATTTCTATTCTATGTTCGATTGAATTTTCAACTTTAGATATTCTGAGGAACAGGGAGATGACTGCTTTGTGAATAAGTTGTTCAACCGATTCAGCTCCGAGAAGGATATAAATAGCGACATCAGCAGTTCTTGGGGGTGAAGACAGAAGTTGCTTGAATGTCTTTTTTTTTTATATTTTCTAATTTTTGGATATCAGTTTTAGTATAGTATTGAGAATTTCAATTCCATACGGCATTCAGAATACTAGTATTACATATGTTCTCCAAAGTTTGTATGATATCTAATGGATTAATTCCGTTAATTCCGTTTAGAACTACTCCCATAAGAGAGTACATAGTTGTTCTTGCAGTGGAGATTCTATTCTCTATGTTTGGATTATTTCGTTCCTCAGACCTGTCTTTCTATGCCTAGATGTTTGATTGTCTGCTTTTCACTGATCTCATTATTAAATAGTTTAAGATTTACTATTTTGTTCTTTTTGTTGATAGCAGGATTTTAGTTTTTTTACTTTTGACCTTAACTCTGTCTCTTGCAGTACAATTTTCTATGATACGTAGTTGGGTTAAGGCATCATATTCTGAGTTTGCACATATCATTATATCATCTGTGCACGTGGGACAGCCTACATAATTGGTCCCGATCTTTAATCCAATGTTTGTGGTTTCAAATGTATCCAGTATGTTCTTGTTGTAAGCCTTATAGAAATCAGCAGAGATAATTCCTCCCTGTTTGACTCCCTGTTGATTTGGTAAAGGTTCTGAGATACAGCCTTGAGATTTAACCTGTGGGCTTGTTTTGTTATACAGTTCTTTTATTAGTAACCAAATTGATCCTGTAATTCCTAGGTGGTATAATTTCTAAAATATGTATATAAGGTCTACAATATCGAAAGCTATTTCAGCATCTATTCTAAAGTAATCAAGATGAGACACTCGTTTTTATCTTTAGCATCGTTAATTGCTTCAGTGATTTAGAGAGCAATGTTTATGGAAGATGCAACCTTGATGAAACCTTCTGAAGTTTGTTTTGATGTTTATTGAGGGTGCATTTGATCCTTGCTCTGATACAAATTGTATCAAAGTGATTTCGTCTCTATACTCGTGCACTTAAATGGTTATCACTGTTATTTCTGTTATATACAAAGTACTAATACTTTGTATATAACAGAAATAACAGTGATAACCTCGTGCACTTAAATGGTTATCACTGTTATTTCTGTTATATACAAAGTACTAATACTTTGTATATAACAGAAATAACAGTGATAACCATTTAAGTGCACGAGTCTAGTATAACAGGTGAATCAAATACCAGCTAGAAACCAAAACTTAAATGAACTGTGAGATATAGCTGTTGATATTGATACTAAGCTGATATTGAAAAGAGAATGTCTTTTTAAGTGTTCTTACCCATAATCTTGGTGCCAGTAATGAGGAGCCGCCATATTAGGATCTTTTAACATGTACTTAGAATGATAATGATAGACTTCACCTCCAAGTAACTGAAGAAATAAATATGTAATTAATTAGAAAATTAAATCCAACTTGGAATAATTATACATTATGAAATATCCAATTGTATCTTGAACATGTTTGACACAGTATATATAAACATATTATAAACACACTGTATTTTCATAACACAGACAATGTCAACTCTGTAGTAAGTCATTTCAGGGCGTCTTGCAAACATATTGAGCTAAGTCAGGTGTTAATTACGGCGTTTTGCATTTGCGCCGATCTGCATTTCAATTGCGCCGATTTTTTCTTTCATTTGCGCCGATTTTTTTTTTCATTTGCGCCGATTTTTTTACAGGTAAATTACAGGTAAATTACAGGTGAATGTTATTATTCATTTATCATTATAGACCTCTTTCGTTCGCCAGTTGTACAAATGTTATGAATTGTCAATCATAACATGCATATAACTGTTGTCCTCTGCTCACCACGGGGAGGTGGAAGTAGGATTTTGAGCAGGATAAGTCAATTTAAAAGCACTATGTTCACATACTTTAAAATCAAGAAGTAAAAACCTAAAATGAAAGCACTCTGTTTTTACTCTGTTTATACTAAAATGACGAATTAAAAATCTATTTACAACATTAAAATCCATAATAACGGAATACATTAAAATCATAAATCTGCTCTTGCCGAGTATTTATAGGCAACACATCTAATATATTCCTTTCTTGTGATTTCGTCTCTATACTTGTCGTAATTGTCAATAACGAAGTCCATCTTTTCTTTCTCTGGCTAACGTACTGATCCGGGCATTTCTAGAGTTCGCATTTTAACATACGTAACGGCCTGGATTTTCTTAACTTAAACATAAGTGAACAACGTTTATAACCAGATTTTACCAATATACATTCAAGGTATTATTATAGTACATGTACAAATATTTACTCACCTGTGTTAAACTGTAAATGCAATTAGGAGCAAATATAAAATCGGCGCAAATGAAAAAATGAAATCGGCGCAAATGAAAGAATGAAAATTTTAATCAAAGTACTGAAGTACTGAACATCGGATGACCGCAGGTTCTTGTGGATGGTCAAAAGCACATGTCACAGAAATAGATCACATCTCTATACCTGAAACTGAGGTTAATTTACAGAGATATATTTTTTTTCTGATACAAGTTCGTGCATGGATGATGAATAAATGACAGGAAATTCAACCGCACCGTAATAACTATTATATTGTAGTGATACAAATCAGTATACCTGGGACTATTATACTAATATAATAATAGTCCCAGAGTATACACTGGTTCGTTGTTATATATTATATTAATATTACGGTTGCATGTATATATAATTTTCATCTAGTTGTATATCATTCTATTCTACTATTCTAATTATAGTGCAGTGCAAGTGCATGGTGGACACTCTTCTGTAAAAAAATCGATTTTCTAAAAGATTGGATATGAGAAGCCATTCATATTTTCCCGCAAAACAATAACAGAGTTATCGGTCCTTGCCGGGAGTGTCGCAAAACGTTCTTGAGATATTCTTCCGTAAGCTTTAACACAATTTTTCGGTACGTGTGCATAGATATCATCAATGATTTTTTACTTTTATATATATAACTAACGACAACACATTTTCATATTATAAATTTGTGTTTTAATAAAAATATTTATAGGAGTATCCATTGAAAAAATGAATTTGAAACAAGCGATAAGTAATGTTATTTTGCACTAGATAATTACCGCGGATCTATAATTTTTATAGATCGGTTGAAAACCCAAAGCTAATTTGCATAATGGAAATTTAGGCGATAGCAATACATCGAAATGACCTCACGGTCATCGCGATGTAAAAATCGGCGCAAATGTCATACGCCCGTTAATTAGCGACCATGCAGTGTTTCGAAATTGCACGAAGCCACGTCCATTAAAACTGACTTTGTGATGACCTCAGTTAACTTGAACCAGTAATGTTCTTTCTTGAAAATGACAATTAAACTCTTACAAAATTTTATTGTGATTAAAATGTGATCAATTAGTCTAAGGATGAATGTTTTCTATATGTAGGTATTACCTATGATAGCATAAACCATTTACCAGATAACAAACATATAGTCATTATAGATTTTATGGATCATTTGCTTTATTGTGTTGTGATACGGAAATTAAGATGTGAATGGTTTGAATACCACAAATGGAAATATTACCAAATCATTTAGTCAGTATCAAATATACAGAAATGTCCTATGCAAGACTACTTTTAGGTTACGAACTGCATTTTTCTCGCTAAAACTTATATTTCTTTTCCTTACTTTATTTTACATGCAATGGAACTATAATATAACAAAACATTTAGAATACCGTTCCAAAGTACACACTCAAATTAAAGATCGTCAATATATATACATTGAGAACAAAGTCAAGCAACGACTCCGATTATGTTTGGCTTATCTTTCCCAATATTTAGAATCTCAACTGGCTTATTTGACACAGTGTAATAGGTAATGGGTGTTGAACTGTCTTTTATTTGATAAATAATGAAGAAACAACGGAGCTGTTTTCAGCATTGCTACACTTGATCAGCCTTCACGCTTAACTTTTGAGTCCAAAAGCCAGAAGCTCAATTTTTTGAACATTTTAGTTGGATTCTGTTGGCTTGTAGAGAAGAATTTTACAAGTCCGAAAGCAATTTTACAAGCCAATGCCGTAGGACTTGTGGTTAAGCGTGAAGACTGCTTGATAGTGCTTAAACTTTTATTCTTACCTTCTCACAAGTGTTTACAACTTTTTCACATCTAGCTGCCATACCTGTGACGTCAGTTCCTGGATGACTCCATATTATCCTTGGTGCCTTTTTTGCCCCCTTCTCAACCTACATATTAAGAACAAGAATGTGTCCATAGTACACGGATGCCCCACTCGCACTATCATTTTCTATGTTCAGTGGACCGTGAAATTGGGGTCAAAACTCTAAATTGGCATTAAAATTAGAAGATCATATCATAGGAAACATGTGTACTAAGTTTCAAGTTGATTGGACTTCAACTTCAAAAACTACCTTGACCAAAAACTTTAACCTGAAGCGGGACAGACGGACGAACGGACGAACGAACGGACGAACGAACGAACGAACGGACGCACAGACCGAAAACATAATGCCCCTTTACTATCGTAGGTGGGGCATAAAAACAAAATGCAACTGTGAAAGAATGCAGAAAAGTATGAAAATGATATGAATTACAATTTTAAAACAGGAAACCCCTGAGAGGAGAACAAACAATGCCTTGATCGAAAAATCTGACGATAATCTACAAAACTAAGAACAGAGATCACCAAACTCAACTTCAACAAGGAGTAAGTCAGTAGTAAACCGATTTACATTTGTAAGTCAGATTAATATATATCAGTGCAATCAAAACCTATGTAACTGAAGATTTCACCCCATCTTATAAACAAATGTAGCCATTCATTTAGGAAGGAACTTAAAAAAACAAGTAGTTGCACACGATGTCGAGCAAAATTTATCCGACTCGACATTATTCATAGCCGAAAAATTGCTCAGTGGGTATGATAACTATTCGAGGCATAATAAATCAAGAATTAAGTGACAACTTACAGATCTGAAATAGTTTACACGATACAACTCAACAAGTTCAAGCATCTTATGACGTCTCAATAAAGAGTCTTGATGTGATTTGTTTATTTGTGTAGTTGAGTTACTGTCTCATTGACTTATACCCTACATTTTTCTATTGATGAAAACAAACCTTCAAAATTGGTTGTAAAAGTAAGATTTAATGTTGATTGGAAAGACTGATTTTGGTCCTTTTGATCTTCATGACGTTCGAGCTACATCATTTATAGTTTCTCAGCAGTACTAGCATCAAATTCAGTTGAAACTTTAATGATTTTCGGAACTAAGTATATGTATTATACATAAATGTAAATTATACAGCGCAAATTTGTTTGGCTTTTAGTACAATGAGTTTCAAAATCATTGAGTTTCAACTTCTGAATAATCTTCCGAGGAGAACAAAATTATAGAAGCAGTATCCAGAAGGAAACAACAATAACGACAGTTAATAGAAATAAGAAGATGTAGTATGAGTGCCAATGAGACAACTCTCAATCTAAGTCACAATGCATAAGAGGTAAACCATTATAGGTCAAGGTACGGCCTTCCACACGGAGCCTTGACTCACACCGAACAGCAAGCTATAAAGGGCCCCAAAATGACTAGTGTAAAACAATTCAAACAGGAAAACCAACGGTCTATATAAATAAGAAGATGAAGTATGAGTGCCAATGAGACAACTCTCCATCCAAGTCACAATGCATAAGAGGAAAACAATTAAAGGTCAAAGTACGGTCTTCAACACGGAGCCTTGACTCACACAGAACAGCAAGCTATAAAGGGACCCAAAATGATTAGTGTAAAACCAAACAGGAAAACCAACGGTCTACTCTATATAAAAAACCAGAAACCAGAAACACTTATGAACCACATCAACAAACGACAACCACTGAACAACAGGCTACTGACTTAGGATAGGTGCAAACAAATGTAGCGGATTTAAATGTTTTAACAGGCGCCAATCTTTACCTTAACCTGAGACAGTAGTGTAACATTACAACATGGACTATTCAAGGCTATTTTATAAATGACGTCATACCCATACCGAAACTCAAATAAACCATATATATTCCCAGATTATATATTATATAATGTATTATATATAATTATGTATAATCGAAATTTAATTGTTTATTTAAAGGAATACTGCATATTAATGAAAACAGGAGAATAAAAAAGATGGTTATAGTGGATATATTTACCTGATAAGAATTCTTGAGAAAGGCATCAGTTTCACTCACTGCTTTGATAAGCATTGCTACTTCTTCTTTGTCATATAGGTTCCTTAAAAAAAAATGAAATGATTGTCAACGTTTTGATATTAAGATCACCCTCTTTACTTGCTACATCATACTTTGTTTTTTCTAGTGTCATCATTGTAACAAAAAGTTCACCAAACCACTGACACTTTGTATACCAAACGCACGTCTGGCGTACACAATTTTAAGCCTGGTATCTATGATGAGTTTATATTAGAAAAGGGTTTAACACTTATTCAACGTGCATTTTTTACTTGATATAAATTAAATTAAATACATTCAGCAATATGTATATTTTCTCTACTTTTCCGGCTGGTCTGTTTATCTCTTATTTTGGCCCTATGTTCTCACCTATTCAGTTTTGAAAAATATTGCCATTCAGCATTTTGAAAGAGTTATTATAAGAACAATTTATGTTCGTAATTTTCTCTCAATATACATATATACCTGACTAATATATAGCCGTAATCTTTAAAATCTTGTACCATTTTGTGATTTGCTTCGAATTCATCTGTATACTGATATTCTGTAACAAAATTGTGTTACGAGTAGTAAGTTATTTACTATGATGGAACTTGTATAGTCACAAAAGGTGAATATGTAAATTTGTGGTGCATAATTAACAGTTTTGTCAACTTCCATCGTCAGGTTTTTTATCAACGTTGATTGTGTTGTGGACTCGCTTTCTCATTGAGTCTAATTTGACATTTTGTTAGCTTTTTTCCTCCAATTAAATCATTAGTGATTGTGTTGTGGAATCGTCGCTAGTGAGGCAGAAACAGAGTTCTCTCCGGAATCGGAATGCTCTTTGTATCCATCTTGACATCAGAATTTTTATTGTAATCAGGTATCCCATGGGGTTTCTGCTTGACTGTATAAATTTTGTATGTATAATGGTAATCAACTGTTCCTCCGACTGTCCAATAATCCTGTTCCTAAACTTAACTGTAAATACTAAAATAGCATAGTAGCAAATTTGTATTGTATAACATAATGGATTTTTATCATAACATCAATTCTATATATTGTGTGCATTTTGTGTATTTTGACCATGTGTATTTGTACTTATCGTTTTTTCATCGAAAAGTCTATAGAGGTCCGGAAGTTTCGTTATTTTTAGACATGGTGTTTCCCATCTGCCATGGTATTTAGAAAATACCCCCCCCCCCCCCCCCCCCCCCACATGGAATTCCCTAATGACAAATACATACTTTGCAAGATTTCTTCGCCAGATTTATTTATAATTTGATTATATTACCCCGCAGCTGGATTTATCAATACACATTTATTTTTTTATTTTAAAATTTCTGTGTTGTATCTACCGGTAACAGTCTTGCCTATCCCTTGCCTTGAAACGTGTTTTCCTAATTGGTCAGTTTAAGGGTAAAAAATAGTTTACGAATTTTGAGATGTTTTAGGGTTAGATGAGAGTCGATCACTAATCCTTACCCTTCTGGAGCGCCGGAGATCACCCCCAGTTTTTGATGGGGTTTGTGTTGCTTCTATGTAGTGTTTTGTGAACTTTTTTGCCGTTTTCGTTTTGAATGTCCCCTTGGTATCTTCCGCCTCTTTTTTCCAGAAAAGAATTGCACCCAAACTGGTGCTAAATGTTGGTTTGATCTTGCAGTAACGTGATAGTCCTTGCGTAATACTTGAAGCCTCCATGTAACTTTGAGATGAAGAACATAAAAGAGTTGTTTCTTTGCATTCGTTTTTCATCTATTTAGTAACATATATCCATAATTTAAATATTATTCAGTGATTTACATTACCATTGAGATAAATGTGATAAAAGATGGATATTTATGTATGTTTCTGTAAAAGTTCTCACCGAAGGAAATCTATATTAACCTGCATTTGAAAGGAAATACACAACTTTACTTCTGATAGTATTATGAATTGCGAAACGAGATTTTTTATGTAATGCATTCTAACTTACCTGCAATGTAGCTCATCTTGACCTGAAAAAAAAACCTCAATAAATTGCGCATTACAATACAATACTTTAATAATTTTATGCATACGTAATCACGTATTATGAAAAGAGAAATATTTTCAAAATACTATACTGGCATAATCAAATTTACTAAAATATCAGTCATGTGAAATAGATACAAGTAACTTTGAGTAAACGACGGCTATATAGTTATCTATTTCAGAAATAGCGCTGATAAAAACATAAAAGATAGATAAAAAAAAAGTCGAATAACTTTGCTGAACAAATTCAATCTATAAATAATTCAGTGTCCTATACATATTTTTAAAATCAATCAATTTTGAGCGTAGATCTATATATTTAACTCTCTTTCGTACTAATTATCTACCTTCACGGACTGTTTACTTAATAACATATATGGCGAACTAATAATGGTGCGGACAAGGACACTGACGTACATTTACACAAATATGCCTAATATTATGTAATGGCATGTAATTGCAATGAGATATAGCTGAATAATAAAAATTATACCAATAACAAATACTCGAATCGATTAAACCAATATGCGACATTAGTATCATAAAAAGGTTATAATAGAATATATTTGCATGTTCAGATGTATGATAATAACATGAATAAGATAAAACGTAAAATTAATCTTTTGTCTACCTTTACTGGATCGCACCTCTCGAAACAGTAATCTATTTATAACTCCGATATCACATGACATCAACATTGTTTTGTCACATGACATTGATCAACTAGCGACTGGTTAGTTGATGCTTGCCTAACATCATGTGGCAAATATTTCATGCAAAATCAGGACGAAAACAAAATTAACATTTATTCAATATGGTAGTTTCTGCAAGGTAGATTGACCGGATGGCCTGGAAATGAGAACTGTCACCGCTGGTACTTTGGGCCTAGACTATCCCTTCCATCCCTTCTTATTTATATATGTCTTATATATATATCTGTTTTAATAATCATATATTTCTACTTATTTCTCCTTATTTTCATTTGTTCTTTTAATAAAAGTACAGGGACAGCACGTATAAACTTCGGTTAATATAAATTTTAAATCTTTAAAACAAAACGGCAAAAAACACTCGTGGTGAACACGCATAATCATTTTATCAGTAATCAAAACTGGGAAGTGTACTTCGGGTCTATCGTGAAACCCCCATGTGTGACAGACATCAACATATCGACGAAACCTCTCGGCTACCAATTGGTTGCAATTGATATGTCTATGTTATATATAGATATGAACATATGATACACATCGGTACAACGGACACACAGGGATTGTACCTATATAGAAGTAGAGACTTGTCGGTTTAGGTTCGAATCCCTGTTTTCTTTTTGTTGTCCCTATTCTTTAGTTTTTCTTATTTTGAATGTTATAGTGGATATTTTTGTAATAACAGCGGGTTTTCCCGTTTAATTTTGGATTATTATTGGCTATTTCACGTATTTGAAAAGAAAATGATTACATTCAATTTGTCCATTTTTGTTTTATATATATAGTATGGTTTCATCTGTTTTACTTCAAATCTTTACAAATGTTTATTCACATATCCCTATGCGAGTAAATCATGATGTGCCAAGAATTAGGTTTCTTGCTAGAAATTTCGGTAACATACGTATTATATAAACTCAGAAATAAGTTCGAATATGTCTTATTTTGTAAATTACGAATACTAGTAATATTCAGATTCATGATAATTTTAAGACAGACGTGTTATGTTATATGTGTATATCTCTAACCAGTTGATTTATTAATGTATCGTTGAACACGGTAACATGGTTTTATAAAGTCACATACAATACCTTCTAATTAGGGAAATAGGGAAATGCTTTAATATTGAAGACATCAACACAACAGTTTAAGTTTGAGACACAAGTCTAGGTTAGTCTATGGAAAGGTATATACTATGAAATTTAGAGCGAGGGGCTTGCCCCGAGCTCTTAATTTCATAGTATATCTTAATTTCATAGTATATACCTTTTCATAGACTATCCAATTTAGCACATATTTACAACTCGAGTAATCTTTTAATTGGTCTATTGATAGTTTATTTTGGCTGACTACTTGTATCACAGGTGTTTGTAAAACGGAGCTCATTAACGAAGTTTTGTAAATCTACTCACTAGTATCATCGTAAAATATGTGATTTCAAAAGGCCCTTGACTCCAGAATGAAAAGATGGTAGCTGCTGGTGTAAGTATGTTTATTGGTATAAAGCGGTGTTTTTACTATACATGTACTTCTTTACATGGTAAGACGACAAAATAAATTGACCAAAAGCAAGCAATGATTAAATTGCAGTGGAAGTTTTACATGTCTTGAAAACATTTTTCAATTTCACAGTAAAACTAAAGCTATAATAAATTTGAAACATATAGATAGTATGCAGTGGCGGATCCAGGGGGGATCCGGGGGTTGGAAAACCCCCATGTTTGGACGATCAATGCTTTTGAATTTGGACATATGGTTGGACCCTTTTTTTTCCTGGGTTGGAACCCCCTTTCAAAAATGGCTGGATCCGCCCCTGGTATGTCCCCATAGATAGTCTGCGGATAGTCATTAGAAAACGACTACCAATAGATCAAAGATACTAGGGTTCATGTTTTTTTTATTTCAAAGTAAAAACTAAAAGATGTATCAGAACATATATATACATATATATATATATATATATAGGTGGCACATTCTCTTCAGGCATTATTACGGTTTTGCAATTCATGACATCGTCCTGAACATGCATGAAATATTTGCCAATGGACATTAAGCAACCAATAATCAATCAGTTCATGATGAAATAGATCAAGTTGCCTGAATTTCCCTTCACAAGGTTTCATAGTACACACTTTTTTGTGTAGAAAGTAATTGCATGGATGATAAATTACTAGTATCACAATTTTAAGATGGTGTACTCTAATCAAGGTATAAAAGTGATTTCCAATAAAATGACTTTACTCGACATTACCGACCTAACTCAACGTATTTCGTCCTATTGCATTGAAGCATGACGGAGGGGAGCATACACTGCATGCACTTTTTGCTTTTTGAACACGCATTTTTTGCTGATATAGACCTAATGTAAAAATCAATCCCAACTACTTTTTTTAATCTTTAAATATTTTGTCATTAAATTTTGAATGATTTTATTGACAAAAATATTTTAATGGAATACTTAAGCTATCAACTTGTAATCAAATACACCCATCATTTCTTGTCATTTCACTTGACCCATATTTCAGTTCTTCTCAAATTGTGAATTTTAAAAACTACCAAATAAACATTTAGCATGAAAATATTAAAATAATGAAATTCGAAGCGAGAAGTTTATCTCTTTTTTTTTGTTTTTATAAGTTTTAACGTTTAAAAAGTAGATTCCAACACACCCGAATGTAAAAGGTGTACGCGACTAACTTAAAAAAAATAAATTTTTCTATAATTTAATTCAGGATAATTTGACAGAAATTTATATCATTGATACATTATCAAATAGTATTTTTTAGTCTTCAACTATAATAATGCATGGGACGAGGTTTTTATCCATGTATACCTAAACGTGCATTCACAGATACAGGGGTAGAGGGCGTACTCCCCCCTTTCGATCGCTAAATAATTTGGAAAATCTCACGTTTTCCATGTTATCTATACGAATGTTTAGTATAAAATCGTCTAATTCTTTTTCGCGTTGCTCCGCTCGGCAGTATAAATTCAATTATCGGAAACTATGCCCTCATTCAAATATCTTGGATCCGGCTATAATCACAAATTGTATGGCACCGAAAAAAAATCAAATGATTGTCGTTTGACTTTGATAAATACGTTTTAAAAACAACAATGTTTGAACATTAATTTAGACATCTCGCACGAGATTTAAAAGTTTAAGACTACAAACTGAATTGGATTTTTTCTTAGATTTAGAGCTCACTCAAAACGGAAATGTGATACTGGCGTGAAATCTAATGGACACATATTCTCGTTTCTGATGTTTATTTTAATATAAATATTCATTTATCTAGCTATATATAATTCCACTAACAAATAATCATGTATCTTTTACTGATAAATTATCATTACATTTTATAGAAACTACATATAATCTGCTATACAGTTATGAACACTAATGGTCCTACAGGCACTCTGTGCTTTTGGCATGACACAAGGTCTTGCTTTTCTAGTGTTTATAGATATAGGAAGATGTGGTATGAGTGCCAATGAGACAACTCTCCATCCAAGTTACAATTTATAAAAGTAAACCATTATAGGTCAAGGTACGGCCTTCAACACGGAGCATTGGCTCACACCGAACAGCAAGCTATAAAGGGCCCCAAAAAATTACTAGTGTAAAACCATTCAAACGGAAAAACCAACGGTCTAATCTATAATATAAAAACGTATGAACTACATAAACAGACGACAACTACTGTAATCCGATTCCTGACTTAGAACAGGTTTATGTACTTTTTTACTTAATTTGTGATGTGTACAAAAAAGAAGATGTAGTATGATTGCCAATTCGACAACTCTTCACAAGAGACCAAATGACAGAGAAATTAACAACTATAGGCCATCGTACGACCTTCAACAATGAGCAAAGCTCATACCGAGTAGTCAGCTATAAGAGGCCACAAAATGATAAATGTAAAACAACTACAAGTATAAAACTAACGGCCTAAATAATGTACAAAAAAATGAACGAAAGCACAGCAACAAACGATAACCACTGAATTACAGGCTCCTTACTTGGGACAGTCACATCCATACATAATGCGACAGGGTTAAACATGTTAACGGGCCCACTTACCTAATACAGTGGTGTAACAGTACGAAATAATTGATTAATATTCTAAACTGGATAATTATTCTGTATTTATTAGTAGTAGCTGTTTTTAAGATAGTGTTCAGTAGCTGTGAATATATACTCTAAGATCGGTACATGGAGTTTATTTGGAAATACTAGTAATTGCTGTTTTTGTGCTTCGTTTTAGTCGGACGAGTCAATCCCTTTCTAACTGTTTTAATTGTGAGTAGACATGATCATTTGATAAACATACTTCTATGATCTCTGTTAGCTTTAACTTGGACATTTATAAAAACTATGTAGAAAAGAGATGCATGCGTGAAATAAGTTCTCGACATAAATTGGCTAAAATATCAGATAAGAATTTAGCCTCAAGCTACGATACTTACAAGCTATAATGAATACGACGAATATTTAGCCTCAAGCTATAATACTTATGATGATGATGATACTGATGCTTGTCTTATATCCAGCGACAAATATAACATATATATTAAGGATGATGAAATGATAATGATAAATGATTATACCTTTTTGTACATGACCAACACTTACAGGCGCATTTTTATATGCTAGGTAAATTAGCGTACCCGATACAAAGACACACTTGTCTTTCTTTGATTAAACCAACACCTGCTCTTACTCGTGAGTGCATCATGCTTGGTGGTGAAGCCGAAAAATCCAGTTTTAAAATCATTCGATCAGGGGGTCCAACAAAATAATTGAACCCGTAATCGAGGCTAATCTGCTACCAGTCAATCCCATATCTAATAAAAACCTGTTAATATATTTCATGCTTTATGTGCTTATATTACTATTCTAGCAACACTTGTTTTGTTGCATAATTTGTTTGGTTTTTCTCCTTGTTTCTTTGTATCAAAAAGCTTAGTTTTTA